ATAGTGATGCCTGTGTGGATGCAGCTACACCAGTATAAAGGTACCACACGTGATCTTAGCCAAAAGGCCGAGCTGATTTCCCTCGTGTGGGAATGAGCTATACCAGTATAAACATCTTGATAACTGCATCCACGCTGGGGAAGATTAATGCACCGACTTTAATTATACCGGTATCAAAGTGGTCCAGCTTGTGTGTCTAAACAAGTCTTCTGCATCTTTGTTACGTCAAGTGTGACTAGAGTAGATGGGTGAACCCCTTTAAATGCTTCAGTAAGTTGAAATGTTTATTGGTACTGAGGGTGTGAGGATAAAAATTCTGAGCACAAATCTGAAAGAGTCAATCAGAGTGACCAAGGAAGCCAGAAGCAAATTAATGGGCTCATCGCTGAAGAGCTGCAGTAAAACCTTTTAAGTGGTCTGTGGATTTCACATTATTTTAGGGTGTGGTTTTTCTGTCATAAACATTAAGTCAAAGGCTTAGAAATATAGCACAAAGCAGACTGCCTTAGTATGAGAACTTGTCAAACTAGTGTCGTTTGGCTGACTTTGGTATTAAGTGTAACATTCGTGATTTGCATGGCTGCGTTTAGCACTGTGAAGTTCTGAGCTCCAGTCCTGCAATGAATTCTCCGCAGGCAAAACCACTTGGCCCATGTGGGTCCCCTGTCAACTTTGTTGGAAGGTCCCTCGCTGAGCTCATTGTAGGCTGGGACCCTCCCGGAGTGGACACACATTTTCAGTTCCTTTTTAAAGGCCTCAAAACTACATGTGAATCGTTTTGCTGCATACCAGGGTGTTGTGGGTTTTAAAGGTTGTCGGGGGTAGGAGGAAAACTGAGGGTGTTCCTTTTTTTCTTCTTTTGTGATGTATAAAGAAATCTCTTTTACCGGTTTATTGGGATTTACCTGTGTTTGAGGGGGAGGTTTATGCGGTTGGCAAGCGAGTCATAGCTTAGCAAACTCTTAAGGCCGGGAGGAACATTAAATCATCTAGCCTGACCTCCCATTTAACAGGCCATAGAATTTCCCCTAATTCCCCTTCTACTGACCCCAATAACTTGCATTTAACTAAACAAGCGTCTTCCAGAAAGGCATCCAGTCTTGATTTGATACCATCAAGAGATGGAGAATTCAATTCGGCACAACCTGTGGGAGTTTGTTCCATTGGCCACAGACCCTTGCAGTTACAAATTTGTGACTCGTTTCTAATTTGTTTGGCTTTAACGTCCAGCCACTGGGTCTTGTGCTCCATCATGGTGTGGGTCAAAACCTTTTTTATGAAACTAGGAGGATGGTGCGTTAGATAAAGAGTCAAAGAGATCTTTTCTTCTAACAATCAGTTTTGAGTTAAATCCGTGTTGGAAAGAGAGTCTGGAAAGATCTTCCCCTAGCCATTGGCTTAGAATCCTGCAAAGCCTTAACTTTCCCCATGTCACCTTGGTACTTGTGATGTCATAGTCCTGCCAGTTCTCCAGCCGGATGGCTAGATATCAATCATGATTTGAATCACCAAGTGGAAAGCCTCCATTTAAACCATCAATTTAAATCAACTTTTCCATTTGTACTTCAGTTATTTTTCTTATGAAAGGTGCGTTCTCATTGGTTGATAGAACCATTAAAATGTAGCACCTTTACAGAAGATGTGGTTAATCTTTTTGCTATCTTTGGGTGTACAGTATATCTATATACACTTAGTTAAACAATTATATAGTTTAATATTTTCAGATTATTAATTGTACATTTTTAGTATGTTGGAAAAAGGAGAATGAGATATTGCTTAGTTAAGTATCAGGGGGTAGCCGTGTTAGTCTGTATCTACAAAAACAACAAGGAGTCCGGTGGCACCTCAAAGACTAACAGATTTATTTGGGCATAAGCTTTCATGGGTAAAAACCTCACTTCTTCAGATGCATGGAGTGAAAGTTACAGATGCAGGCATTATATAGAAGAACAGGAGGACTTGTGGCACCTTAGAGACTAACAAATTTATTAGAGCATAAGCTTTCATGGACTACAGCCCACTTCTTCGGATGCATATAGAAGTGATAATCAAGCTAGCCGAGTACAGACAGTTTGATAATAAGCCATTCTATATGCATCCGAAGAAGTGGGCTGTAGTCCACGAAAGCTTATGCTCTAATAAATTTGTTAGTCTCTAAGGTGCCACAAGTACTCCTGTTCTTCTTTTTGCGGATACAGACTAACACAGCTGTTACTCTGAAACCAGGCATTATATACTGACCCATGGAGAGCAGGGAGTTACTTCGCAAGTGGAGAACCAGTGTTGACAGGGTCAATTCAATCAGGGTGGATTTGGTCTACTCCCAATAATAGATGAGGAGGTGTCAATTCCAGAAGAGGAAAAGCTGCTTCTGTAGTGAGCCAGCCACTCCCAGTCCCTATTCAAGCCCAAATTAATGGTGTTAAATTTGCAAATGAATTTTAGTTCTGCTGTTTCTCTTTGAAGTCTGTTTCTGAAGTTTTTTTGTTCAATGATAGCGACTTTTAAATCTGTAATAGAATGACCAGGGAGATTGAAGTGTTCACTTACTGGCTTTTGTATGTTACCATTCCTGATGTCCGATTTGTGTCCATTTATTCTATTGCTTAGTTATTACTGTTGTGCCATATATATAAAGTTTGATGTCATAAGTTAGATGTTTTTCCCCGGATTCTTTCTTTATATAGAAAATCAGCCTTTAACTCAAAGTTTTTCTGGTAGAAGTTCATGGATTCAGCAGTTTTATTTTTTAATTACTTTAGGCCTAACATATCTTATATTAAATTCAGATTTTCTTTGAAACAGGTTTATTTTTAAAAAGTAAACCTTATTAAAATTTAAATAATCAAAAAATCTGATTTCATAAAAATAATCTTCGATTTTTATCCAGTCAACCATGGAGTCTTCCAGGAAAGAACTGGGTAGACAAGACATGAATTTCTACCATAAAACCTCTTAATGCCTTCATTATAAGCAAAAGGCGACACAACATTGGTATGAAATCTGATCAGTTTAGGGGCATTCTACTCAGCTTCCTAAAATATCCTCTCCCTGGCCAAGCAAGATGACTTTGTATAGTTTTCTTCATAGTTTAGCTGGGTGTTTTCTAAGCCCTGGGGCTTGCCAGATGTTGGACAACTGAAAATAAGCCGTGTCATTTTGAAGTGGGAAGCATGCTGCTTTTATTTTTTTAGAGATTTCCTTTTTTATTTTTTTAAAAACTAAATCGACAGCTCTTTGAAAGTCACTCGGCGGTTTGATGCATAGAAGTAGTTGTGGCAGCAGGTGGATTAATGAGCAAAATGCAGGTGAGAAGGGCAGAGGTATAACACCCTGTATTGTTGCCCTCTGACTTACCTGTGAAGCCGAAAGCTTGTTTGTGTTGTCATAAAGACACTAGATGCCCGGGAGCGAAATAGCCACACCAGACTCAATGGGACTATCTGAGCGTATGCGCCTCTTTCACGGCAGGCCAGGTTCTCGGCTAGAGAAGGGGACTGGCAGTAAGGGACAGAGCTAGACACGTCTAAGTTTGACTCCGGATCCCATGGGTGAAGGCTGCTCCCCTCTGGCAGTTTGGTGATCTGTGTGAAATGAAGTATCTCAGTCCAATTCCTAGTGGCCGTATCATGTTTGGCTGTGGGAGGTCATGGAGACACGACTCCCAGAGCAGGATGGACCTAATGACTTGGGTTCCTTTCCCTCCTAGCCTCTCTGTGCCTCGGTTTCCCCACTGTAGCATGGGGGCGATAGCCCTGCCCAGCCTCATGCAGCTGCTGTGGGGATTAATACATTAAGATTGCAAAGTGCTTAGATACTACAGCAGGGAGCGGGGGCAGATAAGCATCATAGTGTGTCCTCATTAGTTACCATGTGTGAGCAGGAGACCCTAGTGCGGAGGAGGAGGGAACAGCGGCAAGAGTTGAGGTGTGTGCAGTAGAGTGCCTGCCAAGAGAATCGCTGTATTTATCCTCTGGGTGGCACTCCTGCCTCCCTTCTGCTCTTAGCTAAAACTGCAGTTTGCTTTACCCTCGACTGCCTGGTGCTGACCCTTACCTGTGCAGCCAGGGCAGGAGGATTCATTCCCAGGCTCCAAGTGTAACTCTCGTCTTTCTCTTGACACGTCCAGGGCTCCCCAGTACAATCTCGGGAACAACGCAGCCCGGGAAAACAGCATGGAGGGGCAGGCACACGAGAACCCTGAGTGGGAGAAAGCCAGGCAGGCACTGGCCAGTATCAGCAAAGCCAACGCCGCCTCTGGGACCAGCAAGGGCTCCAACAACGGACCGGCTAACACGCAGGTAACATGCCCCCCGCTTTTTGATGGGATTCTGGTCTCCTGGGAGCCAGCGTGCCCGGAGATCTTACCCCGCCCCAGTGCCCGAGAGAAGGATCAAAGGATTAATTTCCATACTGTTTCACGGGCTGACGGTGTAACCTAGTCAATAGAGCACAGGACGGGAACTTGGGAGACCTGGCTTTGCTGGGTGAACCTGGGGAAGTCCCTTACCCTCCAGTCCCCTTCCTCTGCCTGTCTTGTCCATTTAGATCGTCAAACTCTAGAGCAGGGACGGTCTTGTGTATGGACAGCTCCAACCGCTGCGGGGCCCCCATCTGTTACCACAAATCACCTCAGACCACTTGGGATGACTACGTTTTATACCTTGCTGATTAGACACATTCGCTCTTCTTTATCTACGTGGCTACTGCCCTCGGGAGCCCCAGCCCTGGATCGGGGCCCTGTTGTGTGAGCTGCTGTACAAACCCAGAACAAAAAGCCCCCAGTGAGCTTCCAGTCTGTCGTCTGACCCGGTTGGGTTGTGTCCACACGCTGGTTTTAAACACGGTCTTCTATCGACAGTGTTGTGTGTGCGCACACGTCCTGCGCTACCTTATTGTGTATCGGTGCATGCTGGGAAAAATCTGGGTTGCTATCCCCTGCTGTCACAGCAGCAGCTCATATCCAGAGGTCTGGTACCCGGTGCAGTGCACCATGGGATAGCCAGCAGAGGACTAACCGCGGCCACTGCGCAAGGCTAGTGGGGTCCAGTCTGCGCTCCCTAGTCACTGCCTTTCCTGATGATCCCGTGTGTTTCTCTGCAGTATGCCTCCCAGCAAGGAGACCCCAACGCTATGCAGCAACAGCAGCAACAATATTACCAGTGGTACCAGCCGTACAGCTTCGGATACCCCTATAATTACTGTTACCCAATGGTGAGCGATTTATCCCCTGCCCTGTGCTTGTGATCTCTTAGGAGCCCTGCGGTCTAGCCCCAGCTCATCTCTTGCTAAGTGACTTAGCATCAGCTCGTGAGAGGTGCTGGGCAGTGGGAGTTGACTTTGGGACGGGCAGGGAGCCTTTAATATCTTTTGCGGGGGGCAGGGCGTGTGTGTGTGTGGGTGGGGGGAGGTGGTTAGCCAGCATTTGTAAAGCACTTGCCAAGTGCCGTGTCCTGATGCGACTCTGTGGGGCTGGGCTCTTCTCTGCAGAATGTCTACCCAGGCTACAGCTTCCCCAACCAGTACGGGGTCGCAGGGTCGTATTCCTCTTCGACGGCCCAGCAGCCGCAAGGGCCGGGCCAGCACCAAGGGAACGTGAACCAGGTAGGTCCCAATGTCCCAGCCCTCGCAGAACGCTCAGGGGTCACGCTGCCCAGCCTTCTGGACAGTGCTCGGTTCTTTCCTCCCACCCAGGGCCAGGAGTCGTGTCAGGATGTGGCCTAGTGGTTAGAACAGGACTTGGCGCACCTGGGTTCAGTCCTTGGATCAGAGGTGCCATGTTCCCTAGGAGTTGGAGCAGGAGGGACTAGGAGTGAGAAGTGACTGGATTCTGTTTGAGACTCTTGGCAGGAGTGTTGTCTAGTTAGAGGGGGGCTGGGAGCCAGGACTCCTGGGTTCTCCTCCGCTCTGGGAGAGGAGTGGGGTCTAGATGGTTAGATTGGGGGGCTGGAAGCCAGGACTCCTGGGTTCTCTCCCCTGCTCTGGAAGGGGAGTGGGGTCTAGTGGTTAGGGGAGGGGGGCTGGGAGCCAGGACTCCTGGGTTCTCTCCCCAGCTCTGGAAGCGGAGTGGGGTCTAGTGGTTACAGCAGGGGGGCTGGGAGCCAGGACTCCTGGGTTCTCTCCCCAGCTCTGGAAGCGGAGTGGGGTCTAGTGGTTACAGCAGGGGGGCTGGGAGCCAGGACTCCTGGGTTCTCTCCCCAGCTCTGGGAGGGGGCGGGGTAGAGCACAGGGACTGGGTGTCAAGGCTGCCACCTGCTGGTTGTATGACAGCAAGCAAGAAACTGAGGTACACACTTTTCCTCTTGAGCCGGGGGCTTGTAACCCTTGGCCGCTCCCCAATTCTTAAGACAACGGGCTGAAAATGGCTGTTGGCCCAGTTCCCCCCTCCTTGCCCCATGAAGGCCATGGGGCTACACTGGTGTATCTGGGAGGGGGGATGGGCCAGTTTGTCTACACCTTTACCCATAATCTGCTTCTCACTGGGCCTTGACACCTGTGCAGGGCAGTCGTGTGCCACCCTCCACTGAGAGCGTCTCTCTCCCCCTTCCAGCCCCCAGTCCCTGGCATGGAGGAAGGCATGGCCTACTCCAACCAACAGCAGCAGATGGCCACCTCCAATCCCCCGCAGCCGCCTCCACAGCATGGCAACCACCCCGGGGGCGCCATGGGCCAGCAGCAGGGTGGCTCGTCCGGGGGCCAGCACCTGCAGCAGAACTCCTCCGGCGCCTCCTACAGCCAGCACGGCTACTCAGAGGGGCCCAAGCCCAAGAAGGGGCAGCAGCTGTGGAACCGCATGAAACGTGAGTCCTGGCCCTGAGTGCAAATGGCTACTCCTGGGTACCAGGCCTGGGAGGGGTCAAAGGATTAGAGCCGGGGGATCTGGAAGCCAGGACTCCTGGGTTCTGTCCCCAGCTCTGGGAGGGGAGTGGGATACTAGGGGATTAGAGCAGGGGAGGCTGGGAGCCAGCATTCCTGGGTTCTATCCCTGGGTCTGGTGGGTTAGAGCAAGGGGAAGGGGGCAGGGAGGCAGGAACAGAACCCAGCCATCCTGGGGGAGCGTGTTCTAGTGGTTAGGGTGGGGAGCTAAGACTTCTGGATTCTGTTCCCAGCTCTGGGTAGTTCTTAGGGGTTAAAGCAGGGTGGGGGAGACTGGTGCCGGGTCTCCTGGGCTCTACTTCGCTCTCCTCAGCTGAGTGGCTGGATGAACTGGAGTGGGTCTCAGATCAGTCGCTCACCCTGTTGGCAGCACAGAGCCAGCCCCGCTCTGGCACTGGGAGCGGGACTGTATTTTGGCTCGCGCAACATCCCAGCTGTTGACAAGGTTCCTGTCATCGACCCTTTACTGGTGGCGAACGTGAGAGTTGGGGGCCCAGCGTAACTTTCAGAGCCCAGGTGAAGTTTGTGGCCCTGGTGATGAGGAAAAGCATCTCTCGACTTATAAATGAGCTCGGGCGATCCTAAATAGAGACGTAATAAACACAGAGCCGCGTACACAGCTCTTCAGAGCGTATCAGCGCTTTGTGCTCGTTCCCAGTCTGTCAAAACGACAAATACCCCTTCCCTCCTCATGGGGGCGTGCTCTGCAATGGAGACTTTCCTCTAAGGGGCATCAAGTGTGTTAGCCTTCTGCCTTCTCTCCAGAGGCACTCCCCTCCCCTCCTGTATTGCTTGCCCTGTGTTTGGATGCAGCCGCTTCTGGGGTGGGGCGTGGGACTGGCTATACAGAGATGCTTGTCCTGGTGCTGAGATGCAGCCACCTCTGTAGCGGGGCACAGGACTGGTTATACAGGGGTCCCTCGCCTGATGCAGAGGTGAAGCCACCTCTGGGATGGGACATAGGGCTGTTTATACAGGGGTTTTTAGCATCAGCACAGCAAGACGACATAGCAGTTAAGGAGATTCTGTTTCCAAGTAAAATTAGAGAGATGGTGGATTGGCTTAAATCAAGTCCAACAGATGTTGGGGTCCCGTGTATCTAGTTTGGGGGCTTGATCTCGAGTGAGTCCCTCAAATCCAAGGATTTAATAAACTCGGAATTCACCTCCTGCTTCGAGCCATCCGGTAAACTTCTCCCTTGTCTCGGCAGAAGCCCCTGGAGCCGGCGGCCTGAAATTCAACATCCAGAAACGCCCCTTCGTGCTAACGAACCAGAACTTCGGGGCCTCGGACCAGCACGGCAACTTCGGGCCACAGCAGAACTCGGAGAAACATCACAACCAAGGGTACGTGTCTCGCTCCCCTGCCGCTCCGTCAGTCACACTCCTCCCCTTAGGGAGGTGGGCTGGTCTATAAAGGGGGAATCGACGCAGGGCTGGGAGCGACAGCTGGGTTAGAATCCCAGTCCTGCCCCTAAACTCCCCATGGGCAAAATTTTCTCATAAGATCAGCTCTCCACTCCCCTGTTCATCCTAGCAGCCCTTCTCTGCCCGTCTGGCTTGGATTCCTCTTCCTTGAATTATTTCCAGGGAGTTCTCTGGCCTATGTTAAAGAGATCAGATTAGATGATCACAGCGGTGCGTCCTGGCTTTGGAAAAACCCTGGGGTGCCCGAAATGGGACACAGGACTCCAGTTGGGGACTTCCCAGTGCCTTGTCCAACAGCGTTAATATTTCCCATCGTGACAGGTTGGAGCCTCCTTCCGGGGTGCCACCTGATATACTGGGATCCCGCTGAGCCCGCCCGTTCCACCAGCCTGGGCTCCCTCACCCTGTCCTGCTACACACACACACACACGCACTCAGCTGTGGACTCGCACAGAGTCTGCAGTCAGCTCTGTGTGGGAAGACTCAGCTCGGGGAGTTTCCCAGCACTCTGTTGCACACACCCTGTGGAGTGTAAACCCAAAATTATATGGTCTTATGCTGTATCGAGATCTATACGGCATAAGCTCATGAAATTCGCTCCCTCCCTCAATGGGGAGGAAGATCTGCACAGCTTTTTACCCCCTCCCCGGTTATGAATTGCACAAACCGGGTATCAGAATAAACAAAAAGGTAAATTGTAAGTGATTCTAAGAGACAGCAAACAGAACAAAGCAGATCACTGAGCAAATAAAACAAAACATGCAAACTACGCTGAATACTGACTACAAATAATTTCTCACCGTAAATGTTGTTTCAAGTGGGTTGCAGAGTTTCTTGAAGGTAAACTGCACTGCTGGCAGCTTAAATCTCCAGGGATTCCTACTACAGGCCAGACCTTTCTCGCCTGGGCTTAGCCCCTGCCCCACCACCCCCCAGCTTAGTTCCTTTGTTTCTTCGGGTGTTTTCAGCAGTCTCCCTTCTTGGGCAAGGAGGCAGTGGAGAAGAACCAAGATTAACTCACTCCCCGGCCTTAAATATGATTTGCATATGCAGGAATCCTCTGTTTCCCTGTTTGACCCCCACCCCCTCCTAATGGAAAAACACTAGAAGCCCAAGATGGAGCCTAGTACCAGGTGACATGATCACCTGACCCTGTAATGTCAGAGCAGCATCCAAGGAAACTTCTGGGAAGACGGGAGATTCGTATCTTCAAAGTCGGATTGTCCTTCCTAACGGCCCATCCAGGCTGTTTGCGTACTGTCTGGTGGGCGTTCCCAGGGTGTACACACAGTTGTAATTGTTACATAGTCAGTATTCCCAACTTCAGATACAGAAATGATCCATGCGTACAAATTGGGTAATCCCATTCAGTAAATCAGAACCTTTCCAATGATACCTCACATGACCCATGCTGCATAAAACACGTCTTAGTTGTGCCATATTCCTATCATGACCATATCTCAATGAAGAATATGGGATGTCGTATCCCCATATCTTCTGGCCTGATCTAGCCTAGGTTTGCCCCATCTTGGGATCTATAAGTCCCATCAGCTTGGGGCGGGTCTGTGCCCTGGACTGCAGGATTTTATCTCCCCTCCCAAACCCTGCTTGAGTGGCTCACCCTGGGTCTCTAATGTCTGGCTTCTATTCTGGACCTTTCCCCCCCCAGCTCGTCCGCTGGCAAACCGGAGGACTGGCCCCAGGACATGAAGGAATACGTCCAGCGCTGCTTCACCGCCTGCGAGTCGGAGGAGGACAAGGACCGGACGGAGAAGCTGCTGAAAGAGGTGCTGCAAGCCAGGCTGCAGGATGGCACAGCCTACACCATCGACTGGAGCAGGGAGCCGCTGCCGGGGTGAGCCACAGTGCCGGTGGGGTGAGGGTTGGGGGGGCGGAACAGAGCGGGGCTGGGAGCCAGGACTCCTGGGTTCTGTCCCCAGCTCTTGAAGGGCAGTGGGATGTAGTGGTTAGAGCAGGGCGGGCTGGGAGCCAGGACTCCTGAGTTCTCCAGATACTGTCCGGAGTAGGCACTGTTGTAAAACAGGGGTGATCTCAGCCCCCCAAGAAGCAGGTAGCTGAGCTCTGACGCCCCAGTGGCGTCTCTCGTAACTTGCCCTCTCCCTTCCAGGCTGGGCAGGGACAGTATGGCTGAGAGCCCCAAGAAGAAGCGCTGGGAGATGTCTTCGCTTCACGCTCCCCGGGGCCCCATGCCGGCCGGCCTGTCGCAGCAGCAGCAGCAGCAGCAGAGGGGCAATGGTGGGGGCGGCGCGGTGGGCTCCCAGTCCCAGCGCGGTGGGGGTGGCGGGGCCAGCCGGGCCCGAGGGAACAGCTTCCCCACCAAATTCGGGAACCGCAACGTCTTCATGAAGGAGAACAGCTCGTCCTCCAGCGCCGGCTCCCGCTCCCGCTCGTCCTCTCGCTCGCCCAGCCGCCACTTCCGGCGCAGGTAGGGGGCTGCGGGGCCGGGGCTGCGCGGGGGCCCAGCCAGAATACCGGGATACATGAGGGTGGACTCCTCAGACAGCCCTAGCTAGACCCTGAGCGCGTGATGTGATTAGAAACAAGATCACACCCCAGGGCCTGTCCTACCGGCGTGTCTCTCTTCTCTCTCCCACCCAATCAGGCCCCTGGGCCTGTCTAGCCTGGTATTCCCCACCCCAGGCTTTCCTTGGGGCAGACCAAGAGGCCCAGCCAAGCTGGTATCCCTCACGCCACTGGCTCAGCCCCTCGGGCCCCTCCAGGACCCTGAAAAGCTAAGTAAACCTGCTGCCCTGGTGGGTGGGGAGACAACATTGGAAATGGGACCCCAGTGTGACTGGCACAGCGACGCCTGCCT